GTGTGCGTGTGTCTGTGCACCTGTAGGTGTCGGTGTCTGTGACTGTGTGTGCGGGTCTGTGCACCTGTAGGTGTCAGTGTCTGTGGCTGTGTGTGCAGGTCTGTGCACTGGTAGGTGTCGGTCTGTGACTGTGTACGGGTCTGTGCACCTGTATGTGTCAGTGTCTGTGGCTGTGTGTACATCTGTGCACCTGTAGGTGTTGGTGTCTGTGGCTGTGTGTGCGGGTCTGTGCACCTGTAGATGTCAGTGTCCGTGGCTGTGCATGCGTCTGTGCACCTGTAGCTGTCGGTGTCTGTGGCTGTGTGTGCGGGTCTGTGCACCTGTATGTGTCAGTGTCTGTGGCTGTGTGTGGGTCTGTGCACCTGTAGCTGTCGGTGTCTGTGACTGTGTGTGCGTGCGTCTGTGCACCTGTAGGTGTCGGTGTCTGTGACTGTGTGTGCGGGTCTGTGCACCTGTAGGTGTCGGTGTCTGTGGCTGTGTGTGCGGGTCTGTGCACCTGTAGGTGTCGGTGTCTGTGGCTGTGTACGGGTCTGTGCACCTGTAGGTGTCGGTGTCTGTGCGTATGTCTGTGCACCTGTAGGTGTCGGTGTCTGTGGCTGTGTGTGCGGGTCTGTGCACCTGTAGGTGTCGGTGTCTGTGGCTGTGTACGGGTCTGTGCACCTGTAGGTGTCGGTGTCTGTGCATATGTCTGTGCACCTGTAGGTGTCGGCGTCTGTGGCTGTGTGTGCGGGTCTGTGCACCTGTAGGTGTCAGTGTCTGTGGCTGTGTACGGGTCTGTGCGTACGTCTGTGCACCTGTAGGTGTCGGTGTCTGTGGCTGTGTGTGCGGGTCTGTGCACCTGTAGGTGTCGGTGTCTGTGGCTGTGTACGGGTCTGTGCACCTGTAGGTGTCGGCGTCTGTGCGTACGTCTGTGCACCTGTAGGTGTCGGGGTCTTGTGCGGGTCTGTGCACCTGTAGGTGTCGGTGTCTGTGGCTGTGTACGGGTCTGTGCACCTGTAGGTGTCGGCGTCTGTGCGTACGTCTGTGCACCTGTAGGTGTCGGGGTCTGTGGCTGTGCAGGTCTGTGCACCTGTAGGTGTTGGGGTCTGTGGCTGTGCAGGTCTGTGCACACACACAGACCTCCTGGGCCCAGGGCTCTGCGCTGATGCTCCCACTAGTCCCCACCCGGCCCCGGGCATGTGCTCCCATCACTGCAGTCTAGGAAGGAGGAACGGGCCACTGGTGAGATGCCAAAGCCCGGCCTGAGCATTGCTGTTTCTCTAGCTACTGAGCTGAGGTGAGAAAGAATTCTGGGCCCCATGGAGCTCATGACACTGGATGCCACCATCCAATACAGGACGGACTATTAATCATTTCTGTGTCTGAAACTCAGGGCTGAAAATGAGTGGAGTCTGTGCAGCGGTGGGCCGCTTAAAGAGCCTTACCCTGCGGACAGGTGCCAGGGCTTTGGGGGCCATGGGGGCAGCTGCCCTCTGAACTCCAGGCAGAAGGGGCTGGAGGGACAGGGGGAGCCTGGTCAGCAGATCACATGAGGCACCCAAGCTGAGGAGCAGGGCCTGTGAAAAGTTGTAGCATCAAAACTTACAAAGAAAAAAATCAGAAAAGTAGGGCAGTGTGTGAATTAGCATAAGCAGAATGGGAAAGGTGGGAGGTGATGAGCTCACCCCCATCTCAGACACATCTTTGTCAACACTCATGCCTAGACTTTGCCTGTCCACGGGGATTTTCTTGAAATGCTTCATCAGCAGTCGTAGGCCAGAAAGGCAGGTGGTCTTTCCATCAAGGGTACAGCCAAACACTGCATTGGGGAGCAGTCATTCTCCTGAGGTGAACCGCCCAGGAGGGCATCAAGGGGACAAATGCCACTGAAAGCATCCCAAGGTCACTGGCTCACTGACCCAGCTGCGTTCAGGGAATTAGCTTCGCCTCAGGGAACAGCTGGGCACAGGCATTCACTGTGATGTCCAACTGAGTTTCTCTCCTAATTAAAAAATAAAAAAAGTAACCCTGTCCCCATCAAGAGGTTTTAATAACAGCCTCTTAAAAATAACTTCACATTTTAACACATTTTCTCCACTTAAAAAAAAGGGGGGGGGGCTTCCAGCAACTACAAAGTCTTCAGACTAAAGGTTAGGACTTTTTCCCCACTTAGCTGGAAAAGAGGAGAGGTACCACACTTTGTATGCTATGATATTAATCATCCCCCCAAAGGTGGCTTAGTTTTGTTGATTTCTTTAAAGTTATTTTAAACATTTATTTAAAGCTAGATTTACCAAAACTTTGTACTGAGGGCCCACGTGAGGCAATGCTAATGATCCAGATTTCCCGATTGCTATTCACAGCAAGAAATAAACACATATCCTTCGTGAATTCACCACTCGTTTAAGTCCCAGAGAAATGCTGGGTTAGCCACAGCTGAGGGACTAAAGTTTCAGCTGACTCATGAAAGCTCGACAGCATAAGCTCAGCGTAATCTATTTTTCTCAGTCTTTATTTATTTTTTTAAGTAGGCTCCACGCCCTGCATGGAACCCAAATGAGGAGCTTGAACTCAGGACCCTGAGATCAAGATCTGAGCTGAGATCAAGAGTCACCTCACCCATTGAGCCACCCAGGCACCCTATTTTTCTTTTTTTTTTTAAGATTTTATTTATTTATTTGAGAGAGTGAGAATGGAGAGAGAGAGAGAGAGAGCACATGAGAAGGGGGAGGGTCAGAGGGAGAAGCAGACTCCCTGCTGAGCAGGGAGCCCGATGTGGGACTCGATCCTGGGACTCCAGGATTATGACCTGAGCCGAAGGCAGTCACTTAACTAACTGAGCCACCCAGGCACCCAGCGCCCTATTTTTCTTAAAAGACGCAGCAAGTCATAAACCTCTTCCGCCTTTATGAGACATGTTTATGAACAGAAACCAAAGATCGTATTCAATGGAAAATGGAATTGGGCTCCCTCATGTCCTGGACTAGTAAGTCCCCTAGAGTGGCCACGTGTGAGCTTTAAACCCCAGCCTGGATTTCCAACTGGGCTGTGGCCGTGCAGGCAGGAGGAGGAGGAAATAGGAGTCCAATCCCTGGAGACTGGAGAGAACCTGTTGACCACCAACATGAAGGAGAGCCGTCAAGGTGCATTTTGGAGAGTACCAATAAGGTGTGACTCCCCCACAGTTGGAGTGATGCAGGGGCCCTTAGTTCTAACCAGCTATCACTCTGTGCCTCAGTTTTCCCATCTTTAAAATCCGAGGGTCTGACCAAGCAGGCCCCTACAGTCCTGTCCCACTCTGTCGTGCAAGGAGCCAGGTCCTGGGTCATATTGTTATCTCCAGGGTTAGGGATGCGCACAGGGAGGAGAAAAGCTCCATGGGAACATGCAGCATCTAGGCCCCCCCGGTGAAATACTCCCAGTCCCACCTGTGAAGATCCTGCACACGGCAATCAAGAGTATGAGGCTGGGGGTTCCTGGGGGGCTCAGTCGTTAAGCGTCTGCCTTCGGCTCAGGTCATGATCCCAGGGTCTTGGGATCAAGCCCCGCATCGGGCTCCCTGCTCCGCGGGAGGCCTGCTTCTCCCTCTTCCGCTCCCCCCTGCTTGTGTTCCTGCTCTCGCTGTGTCTCTCTCTGTCAAATAAATAAAATCTTAAAAAAAAAAGTATGAGGCTGAATCCAAATCCTCTTTCTGTGTGACTCTGGGCAAGCCTGAGCCTCAGCTTAACCGAGTATAAAATGGGAATGATACCATTTAAGTACCAACTCTTATTATTTTCACCTGTCAAATATGTTGGTGCTTTTTGCGCGAAATACAGAAACGTGCAAATGTCTCGTAGCAGAGTTGTAGACAGAGAAAGGAGCTGATCACAGGGGTGAGAAGGACTCTGCGGAGAAATACAGTGATGGTCCCTGGCGGGTTCAGCAGACCCTCCCTGTCACCACAGCAGCTGTGGCTTCCGTCCTGCTCCTTCCCTGTCCTCCATGAAGCCGGCCCAATGAGGACCTCTGCAAACCCACGGCTCTCAGGGCTGGAGAAGGCCCAGCTCTCCCACCAGCACACATAGCCGGCCTTTGTGCTTCCCCACAGGGTATCAGCTTTTGGGTTAGTATCACCAAATGCTCCAGACTAGCATTCCAGCTCTCTGGAAAAGAAAATACTTTTTTTTTTTTTCCTAAGAAAGAGGATAAAAATCACTTAAACTCACTATTTTGAGTAGACTTCAGTATCTTTCAAGGGATTAATTGTTTGTTCTTGATGATTAAGAGCAGAAAAACCAAGCAGGCAATCCCCTAAATTTTACACATTCTCCTTACTATTACCAGGCAACTGGTGAATTTGCAGGGATTCCAAGGGAGACACAGCCCCCTCCTCCCACCCTCATTCCCACGAAAAAAAGCTCCAAGAGGACACTTGTTCCTTTCCAGCCAAAGGCATCTGCAGTTACCAGTGCACCAAGCATTTCTCACCATGAATCACAAAAGACTGAGGGCTACACACCCCCAAAGCAGAAGGAACTAGCCCCAGGTGGGGAGAACTGGGTATATGAGACAGAGAAATGGGTCTACTGAAGGTACTCAGCCATCAAAAACCAAAATCCTTCTCCCCAGAGGAAAACATGCCCAACTGCAGGCAGCCGACTGACAGCAGCCGGCCGAGACGACGTTGAGAGATGGATGGTCAGGGTTAGAAGGGTTCAGGAAAGGGAGGGGGCATCCAAGGCCGGGTGAGAAAGAGAAGGAGGAGGAGAAGCATGGGACTTCCCGGTCCAGCAGAGCCAGGGTGTGGAATGGTTGCCGGTTCCAGGAAGGGAGGAGGGTGCAGCATGGGGACTCCGGGTCCAGCGGAGGGAGGGTGCCGAGGCAGAGGACCGGGGAGGAGAGGAAGGAGAGGAAGGGAGAAGAGGAACGGGAAGGACTGGAAGGTCGGGAGGGTCGCAACCGCCCCCCACCCCCACCCCCGCCGCGGCCCGCCCGCCCGGCCACACCCCCGCGCGCCCGCAGGCCCTCACCCGCGGCGCCGGGCTCCCGCCGCGCGCTGACCGAGCCGTCCCGGCGCAGGAGGATGTCCGCCGTGTCCCGGATGCGCCGCCCGCCGCCCGGCGCGCCCCGCAGCCCGCGGCAGCCCTGGAAGCACACGGCCCACGCCTGCTCCTCGTTGATGGGCTGCTCGTACGCCTTCAGCACCTCCTCCAGGGACAGCTCCCACGGCTCGGGCCGCCCCGCGCCCCCGGCCCGCTCCCCCGCGGCCGCGTCGCTGCTGGAGCTGCCGGCCCGGGCCATGGCCGCCCCATTATCGCCTCCTGCGCGCCCGGCCGGTTTCCATAACAGCCGCGCCGGGGCGGCCGACGCACCCGCCGAGCGCGGGGGGCGGGTCCCGCGCCGCCGGCCGCTGCTTTGTCATCCTCTGGCGGCCCCGCCCCGCGGAGCGGCCGCAGGTGAGGGTGGGGCTGGCGAGGGAGGGACGGGGGGACGGGGGGACGGGGGGCGGGTGCTGGGGCGCAGAGCCGGGTGCAGGGGGGCGGGGGGGCGGGTGGTGCGGGAAGCTGGGAGGGCGCGGAGCGGGCCAAGGGCCAGGGCCAGGCGGAGTGGGAGAGGTGCGGGTTAGTGGGGAGAAGAAGGCGGGGGCGGGGGGCTGCGCAGAGCCAGGTGGGTGGGGGGCGCAAGGCGGGAGAGGAAGGTTGGGGGGAGGCTGGGGGAGCGCAGAGCCGGGACCAAATGGAGGCGCGCTCCCGAGGCTCTCTTACGCATTTGTAAGCCGACGACACTGCAGTCATTGGGGGACCTCAGGCACTTTTGATGCTGGAATGCGGGAGGGAGTCAAGAGGCCTGTGAACCCACCCCCCACGCCCCACACATCTGACTTTGGTTCGGAGGAGCAGATACCTGCAGTGGCCTCTGTGGGAGACCGGCTGGCAAGGTGACCTCAAGAGGTCACTTACCATAGGGTAACGTGAGCCAGGGAACCCGGCGCTATGAACACTTGATAAAGGAGACCCACGTCTGACTTAAATGCTCGAGTGTCTCCAGGAAAAACAAGCCGCGGCGTAATTCACCTATGTTCATGCAATGCCCCTTTGAATGTGCCTTCATTCCAGGCCAGCTCACTCACGGGAGGGGCGACAATCAGGCACACGGGGAACTTTATTCTGGCAAATCCCAAGACCTTTTGAGCCATAGCTGTATCGGGTGAGGATAGCAGGCCAGAATGCAACCGGAAAGTAAACGTCAGTGAGGCAGTTGGTCCCAAGCCTGGATCCCTGGGAAGGGGGGAAGGCTCCACGGAGGGACATTCTGTGACTGGTTTAAGGACGTTCCCTAGTGATTCTGAACAGCGGAGTATAGAAACCACAACAAGGTGACAACTTCGCCTTGGGGAGGGGGTATGAGGACTGGGTGTAGGCTGTCACCTGGGCCCCTAATGTCAGATCATCCCATCTGGATTGTTATCTTCAAACAGAAAGGAGTTTGATAGAGATGAACTGTGCCAAAAGTCTTTACGTTCAGTGGCAGGGCAACTACCAGTTCTCCAGGTTTATACAGCCAAAAAAAAAAAAAAAAAAAAATACAGCATTTGGTGCTTTGTGGAAGGAAAACGGAGACTGGGGGTGGGGGAGATATGCTATGTTCTGAATAAATTGTGCAAAGAACTTAGGACTCAGGTTAATCTTCTGTCAGGTCTTTACTCCTTACCCCCCCACCCCCGCCCCATGGTTATCAATTGAGGTAAGTGAGAAATTTCAAATTTCAAAGTCTGCCTTAGGACAACAGCAGCAAGAAACCTGTGCAGAGTCTTATTTATGGAGAAACAATCCCATCGACACAGTGGTTTAGGGAAGTCCCTGACTCAGTCACACAGTGCCAGGTGTATGTGATCTGGGAACTGTCCTCCCCCAGCGCAGTGAGGTTGCTCCTGATGGACCCACACAAGGGATGGTTTCTGCTTTCAGATTCCAGGAGACTAAGGACTTCCATTCACAACACCTCTGGTCATGTAGGTCTTCAGAAATTAGGGTCATTCCTGCCACTGTAGGCTGGTTTGCCCCTCCCCTCCTGGGTGGCGGGAGCATCCTGAGGACCATCACCATAATTGGAAGCTGGTTAGGTTGTAGCAAGAAGCTTGAACCTTCCCTAGTCTTCAAAGGATCTCAAGTTCCCTAATTGACCCCATGGTTGTAGGATCTCATTTGATGAGGGGGCCTATGGAGTGATGCCTCACACCAGGCTGACCAGTGCCCTTGAGTTCACCTGTGTAAGAGTACCATCCCTTTTCTGATCTGGCCTTGATCATTTCTTCGGGGATCCCTGTGCACCTTCCAAGACAGCAGCCAGCGAAATTCAGAACGCAGAGGTTTTACTGAAAATTATAAAAGTTAGGTTCTACTTATTTCATTTTTGTTCCTTTTTCTTTTTTTTAAAGTAATTTATTTTTAAATTATAAGATTTACAATGCTTTGATTATGCAAAATAGAATAAGGGAAATTAAACCAAATCGATACACCAAAAGAGTACTTATCTCTTGACATCTGAAGCTTTGTCCCCTTAGCCATGACCAAAATGGGGAAGCACAAGCATCGGTCAGCTCTCTAGATGTTCATAGAAACTGTATCTTTTATCCTCCTAGGACATTTACCCACCCACCCTTGCAGAAAGTGTTGGATGAGGGCGCCTGGGTGGCTCAGTTGGTTGAGCAGTCGCCTTCGGCTCAGATCGTGGTCCCACGTCGGGCTCCCTGCTCAGCGGGGAGTCTGCTTCTCCCTCTGACCCTCTTCCCTCTTGTGCTCTCTCTCTCTCATTCTCTCTCTCTCAAATAAACAAATAAAATCTTAAAAAAAAAAGTGTCGGATGAGACATAGCAATGGGCCTACGGTGAGGAAGAAGCCTGACATGGCCTAAGGGTGGTGGTAGCAGTGAGCGATTCCAAGCTGGTAGACCAGGAGCCGAAGAGCTGCTTTTAAGCCAAGAATCAGAAATGAGGCATGAATCCCCTAGAAGAGAAACCTGATTTTCTCTGGGAAATACATTTCCCAGGGCTCTAGGCAGCAGCAACTAGGTGCAACTGGCTTCTGACCTGGTTAGTGGGAAGTCTAGGTCCAGTGACAAGTTCTAGCTGTTAGTCACAAGTCAAAGTCAAGACAACCGTTTCCTTCCTGTGGAAGAGTACCAAGCTCCACCCATACTTTTGATTAAAAAGTCTAGTGAGGGGCCCCTGGGTGGCTCAGTGGTTAAGCATCTGCCTTCAGGCTCCCTGCTCGGCGGGAAGCCTGCTTCTCCCTCTCCCACTCCCCCTGCTTGTGTTCCCTCTCTCGCTGGGTCTCTCTCTGTCAAATAAATAAATAAAATCTTAAAAAAAAATCCTTTTTAATTGCTTCACAGTGTTGTCCGGGTGATGCCTTTGGTGATGCAACCAAGCCCTACTGCTGAGCAGATACGTCCCTCCCCACTGGTTTCCCTTGCACCTTTGAGGACTGCAGACTTGTCTTCATGGCCTTGGATAAAACTCCACATAGCAAAATTGCTGGGTCAAGACCACACATACACTATTATTTGCCTTTTATATTTTGGCCATATATGGTCTTTACCCAGTGAAAATTCAGGTGTGCTGTGTCCCAGACCCAGCGGCTTCACTGCTGAGCCCCTGACTCAGGGGCTTGCAAGCTCCCTTAGGACATCCTGGGATTCTAGGATACAGAATATTAAGACTATGTTTATTGGACAGATTCAAGGGTCAAGGTTTGATAACATCCCTTTTTATTGCTTTACTCAGGAAACTCTTTACAAGAACTGGCCTTTCTCTCTTCCCTCTCTTTTTTCACGCTGAGCACATGGTGCTAAGGAACATGGTGGGTGCCGCTACACTTTAGTGGCACAGTCTGCTCAGTGCTGGGCACCAGCAGCTTTACCCCCATAGGGTTAAATGATAGCCCCAAATGGTAGCCCCCAGAAAGATATGTCCATGTCCTGACCTGGGACCTGTGAATGTGACCAATTTATTTGGAAATATGGTCTTTGCAGATGCAATTAGGTAAGGATGTTGAGATGAGCTGGTCCTGGATTATCTAGATGGGCCCTAATCCAGCGACAGTTGTCCCTTCATTCACCGCTCTACTCCTATCAGTTAGAACACTGTCTAGCACATATAAATGGATCCATATAAACATTTGTTCAATTGAATTTTTAAAAGAAAAATCTGTCATTCAATTTTACCCTAATAAGAGAAATGGAAGTTAAGCCACTCTTCACCCATCGAAGATTCAAAAGTTTAATCATGTGCTGTGAGCTTAGGAAAATAGACACCCTTCAACATTACCAGTGGGAAAGTAAAGTGGTCCAGTTTCTATGAGGGTTGCTTTAATATTACTTACCAAAATACTGAATTTATAGGTCCTTCAAACTAGTAAGTCTGTTTCCTAGAATTTATACTGAGCACATATAAAAGCCTAAGTGTCAACTCCACAGAGTCCGAGGTACTTGGGACGGCGGCAGTTAAGCCAACGAAATCCCCGCATCATGGAGTCTATGCTATGTCTGAGGTTATTCAGTCGAGACTGGAAACAACCTACATGTCTACCAGGTAGGGAGATTATGGTGCCCCCACAAAGGGATATGCATTGTACAGAAGGATGCAAAACCTCCACACACTGATATAATCCCCACACACACACTGAGGAGTGACAAAGCAGAACACAGGACAGGTGTCTGACAAACCTCTCTCTGTGTGAAAAGGAGATGTGTATGTTTGTAATAGGCATCCAGAATTTCTGGAAGGACCAGTACAAGACCAGTCACAGTGACTGTCTCTGGGGTCAGTGTGTAGTGGAAGATTTCTCAATTGATACCTTTTTGTACCTTTGAACATCAAACCAGTCAAATTAGTCAACACCAATTTGCACAGTTATTTCTATATTTTTACAAAGCTCAGGCCCCATGCAGGCCTTTGAGGCTCATCCCAACATCAAGATTAGTTGTCAGCCGTGATGTAAAACGTCCTTTACTCCAGGCTGTGAGGGAGACGTGGTACAAGAGACAGGATCATACAGCAGTTAGTGTCTGAGTAATACATTTGCAAAGTCCTGGACTCATGTTGAACCATCCTGCATTACCTGTTCAACCATAAATCAATTCAAACTTTGTAAATGACCTCAAATGTCTCCAATGGGAAGCAAACAGTGTCCTCAGGTATGTCCTCTACCCCTGATCTCCTCTACCTGTCTTGTGCCACACAGAACAGCCCCGTCTGCTGCCCTCTCCACTTTCCATAACCTCCTAGGCTTCCCTCTTGT